ATAAGGAGTAACATGTTGTATTAAACTGGGAAAAAAAACTTTGATAAAATATTTTAAGAAACCTCTCTGCACAACAAAGAGCTATTACCTCACGACACTGCCATGAAGATTTTAGTGCAAGCCAGGAATGAAGTCTTGCACTCATACGTATTAATGTGGCCTCCTCTTCACAACCAGCAACACCCAAAACTTTAACGTCTTCAAATTTAAATAATCTTTGATTATTACTTCACCTACGTCATTGATGTAAACCTTTTTCATTTTTTTTTGACTTCCTGTTTGACCAACTCTCTTAATATTCTATAATCCTCCAAATATCCCATCATTGCAGTGAATTTAAACTTCTTATAATCCTTTTCTTTAACTTTATCCTTTATACTGTCAGTGACCCAACCTGGTTTTCTAATTGCTGATAAGGAACATGCCTATTTTGAATATTGTTTCCACATTTGATCAGTATCTCCAACTAATTCAGTTGCCCAAATCCAGCAGATAATTCTTGTATCATCTCTTCAAAATTTACTATCAAAATTTCATTATTCCTTATCTCCCTATGCAACGAAACATCAAATCTAACTGAGTAATGACCACTTGTGCTCAAATGTTCCCCAGTCTTTACCCTATCACCCATTTCTGTATTAGATGTTAACAATAAGTCTAAAATAGCATTATTCCTAGTAGGTTCCCTAACCAACTGTTGAAGAAAACCACCCTGAACAGTTTTTAAAAACATGTCTCCCTCATTTCCCAATCTATATGCCTAAAGTTAAAATCCACTGGGTTAGTGTAATCCTACTGATATAAGACACTGTGACCATCGCACTACACTATAAACCAAGCCATTTCCAGTGGTCAGGCCAACTGGATGGATTTTTACATTCTTCTCAGGATAAAAGTCTCAGATATTTTCTTCCTTCTCCATATTATTCTGGTAATTATCTTGTACGTATTTCTCCAGTATGATACAGCCTGACTTATTGCCCTAGCAACACTACACAGACAGTCAGCTCAGCATGACTGAAAGATAATGGCCAGTTGAGCAATCTTACACACTGTCCACCTATATGACATTTTGGCACCATGCAAAAGGTGTTTTTGACTATATTTTTGGTTCTATCACCCTTACTGGGAGAAGAGTATATCCTGAATGAGGAGGAAGTGGTCTTCCACTGAGCGATGCTCCATTATCTTTATCTCCACCTTCTTATCAACGTGGGATTGTAGCTCTATGTTGTGCCAAGGTGAATATATATCTCTGAAGTTACATTTTCAGGTGAAGAAAATGTTATTTGAGATAGATTTTCATCAATCTGCCCACCGTTCCTCCCTACTTCCAGTATATTTCTTTTGCCTCTTCAAGAATGAACCTTTGTTCTAATGCTACTAATCATTGGTATTACAATGCATGGTATATGTGTCACCCTCCTAGTGGCAGTGGGTCATAGTCTAATGATGGTTACATAATAGGCTGGAACAGTATACATTAATATGTGTAGGGGTGGTAATTTGTTCGAGGCTGGCATGGAAGTGGCACGAAGTAATGGCTCTTTGTTGTGCAGAAAGGTGAGCATCTATCTGAAATGCCTTTTCAAGTAACGATAACATTAATCATGTTATAAGTGTGATAGCTATGCTGGTTTTCAGTAACAGAGTAAAAAAAATGAACTTCCCTTACCAATGAGCTTATAGAATTAAAGAAGATCGACCTACTATAATGTTGAAGTTAACTTAAATACTTTTACATGGATTTGTCCATTCCCTTACTTCATTTACTAAAAGTATATAAACTTACCAAGATTTGTTTCTTTTGTTCGAATACTACTAAAACGGCCATCCAAGTCCACAGAAAAATGACCTAAAACAGTGTCCATCTTTCCTTCTACAACCTCTACATAGTAAACAAAAAATAAAGATTAAAGTTTTAGTATTTCCAAACAGTTTAAACACACATGAATTTAAATACAAAAAAAACTGTTTAGTAACTTGAGTACAGTTGAATAAGGGAATAATCTTAACATTCATCTAGTTAGCCCAAAGAAATCTCTTATTAAGTTTGAGATAAAACTGAAACACAATACTAGAAATATACTTTGAACTTTAAGTTCTTGGCTGGGTTAATTAGATCATGTCATTGCAAAACTTTATTAATTGTTAAATTTTCTCTTACATAGCTTTCGTACATTTATGTCTGCTTGACTACAACAAAAATATAAATAATATTCAACTCAGAATATAAATTTCTCTCTTCCTTTACATCCAAATGCTACATAGAACACTACCGTTATATTTTTCTAGAGCTTTTTTCAAATCCGGATCCTCTCCGAACTTGGATGACACTTCTATCCTCTCGATGCTCAGGTCAACAATGGAATGATTGAACATCAGCGTAATCTTGGAAAATTCTCGGAAGTCTGTCCCACTCTTGATTACATATTTCCCATTGACCTTTGAGTACAAATGTTGGTTTAATTCATAAAAAGAATGTATGATTTTTGCTAAGCTTAGAGCTGCAAATGTTTTTTTTTCTATCACTTCTACTGGTCAGTGTGTGCATGTCAATATATACATAAATACAATGTTTAATATTTTTACACCCTTCAATTAATCACCACGAGTCTCAAAAAAGGTGGATTGCCAGTGAATTAAATTTGAATCCGGTAACACATTAAAAAACCTACAAATAAGTTAGTTAGCATGGTAGTTAAAAGGTTAATAATAAAAATATTTAACAGGAAAATATAGTTTACAATAATATTCTCCAGTTTGACTAAGAATTAGTTTTCAAAAAGTAGGAAGTACAGAAACAAAATTATAACTGCTGTTCTTAATGAATCATGATAAAAAAACACCATCAGAACTCTACGTTAACTTATTAATTTTGCTCAAAATTTGTATTCAACAAACACATGAAAAACTTCATATACCTGTTGACTGTCTCAATTATTTCAAAACAAAATGCTATTGATGTCAGTGGCTGATTAATGCTTTACATACAGGTACAGTTGTGAACTTGACCTTTGACTTCTAAACTTATAACAGCAAATAAACTAAATTTCTTGCAACCAACAAGTCTCTGACCTTGACCTCTAAACTTGAAAGTAACTTACTGAAAGATACTTCAATCTTAATCATATGAAGATATTAGATGGACATTTGGGCTTGAGGTTAAGATATTTAAAACATAAATAGCAAAGATTTTTTTAATCACAGGTTTAGAAGATTTACTTACATTACACAATATGTTTTACACTCCTAAATAATGATCCAAATTTAGAGGGTTGAAATAAGTTCTATAATGTAAATAAATATTCTAACCCTTAAATGAAAAATGTTATTGTGGTACGAAAAATTACTATTGTTTTAAATATGAATATATCACTGAAAAATTGTTTGTGTGTGTTTTGGTTTTTAAACTAATGACTAGAGATTTAGTGTCTTACTACAGTTTTCTAATTACATGTACATGTAAAAGACAATTCATAAGTCTGAAATGAATTTCTTAGTTACTTCCAAGTAGGCTAGGTTGGCTCAGCTGTAAGTCTAGGGGCTTATAACACTAAAAATCAAGTTTCAATACTCATGGTGGGTACAGCACAGATGGTCTATTGTGCAACTTTTTGTTTTAAAACAAACAAATAAACTTTTAAGCAAGTTATTTCTTAAGTTCAAGATAGAAACGATGAAAGAACTTGGTGAATAGCATTTGATCAAATTGTTGTTTCAATTCACTCAATTATGCAGTATGCCCTTTTCACAAAGCATTCCACATGAGTTAGTTAGAGCAATAGAAAAACAAACAAACTTATCATTCCTTCACTATCAAAACTACATACAATATACAAGTGTGATAAACACATTTTTTGAAGTCTTTTACAGTAATAGATCTAAACCTTAAAAAAAAGTGTTAATTCTCTACCTTTTTGACTTCATAATCATGATCATGGCCTCCAAGAATAAGATCAATTTCGTCAACGTTTTCTGCAAGTCTACAATCATTAGGCCATCTCATGTGGGTCAAGGCAATGATGTAATCAACTTCCTCCTAAGTGCAAAATTCAACCTTTCATTAGGTCAGGAAAATCACTAATAGATCTAGGAGATAATGACTGTTTACTGTTGTGAACTCCCAAAGAACATTCGTGGCCTACAGTTTTTAATTGATTATTTCTTTAGCTATAAGCTTATCCTTTACCACAATCATTATAATACCAGTCTTGAGTAAATGTACTATTCTCTTTCACACTAATAATGTCAGTCTCGAGTATGTGTACTAAGCTGTTTCACACTAATAATGTCAGTCTTGAGTAAATGTATTATTCTGTTTCACACTAATAATGTCAGTCTCAAGTATGTGTACTAAGCTGTTTCACACTAATAATGTTAGTCTCGAGTATGTGTATTATTCTGTTTCACACTAATAATGTCAGTCTCAAGTATGTGTATTATTCTGTTTCATACTAATAATGTCAGTCTCAAGTATGTGTACTAAGCTGTTTCACACTAATAATACCATTCTTAAACATGTGTACTAATCTACTTCACAATAAAAATATCAATGTTTAAGGACAAGTTTTCTGTTTTGACCTTGAATCTATAGTATTGAACATGTTCACCTAAGAACTATAATACTTCAATTGACTTTAAACTCACAAAGTCAAGCTTACGTGTGCAACTTATAAAAAATGTGGATTACACTAGCTGGTTTATTTGATACAAAAGGAAGATCACGCTGTATAATCATTGCTCTGCAGAGTTTCATGTACAACGAACCAAATAACATTCATCTATTGAATGCTTTACTAACATAAACACATTCATCATGATTTCTAATACAAAACTTAGTATTAAATTAATTGCAAAGACAATCGAGACCGAATGTCTTCCGGAGAAAAATAGAAGAACAGCTGATTTATCTTCGTTTACTGTTCAATCTCATGATGAGCAGTTGTCTTTAAACACTCATTAACACCAGTGGTTGAATTATCTCTGAACAAGCAGGGATGGGAAAAGTTTAAGTTAATCTATGTATTTAAATTATTTCACGGACTTTAAAAATGGTAATTGTGTTGCACTCTTGGTTTCACTCGAGGCCAAAGCTCCGAGCTACTTATACCGCCCACCGCAAAAAGTAATTGTTGAGCATTTCAGTCATGCTAATAGCTACTCAACAATAACGTACGGTAAATCTACATTTTTATTCTTTAAGTTACGTCACATTTTGAAATGTGAATGATAGTGTGATTAATTCCTAATAATTTAGTGTAGAATATCCTGCTTGTGAAATAAAATTTGGCATCAATATTATTTATGCCTGTTCTCAAGTCATTTCGAAAGTGAATGTTGAGCTTTGCCTGCGTGTGCAGCTTTTCAAAAGTAGCATGGGAAGTGGACACTGTAAATGGGGGACAGATGAATGTTAGGACAGACACCACGGTTTGCAATGTATATAAGATACAAAAGGTATTAAAAACAATAAAACATAATTTAAAACAATGCATGAATAATTACACAAAGCAGTGTCAATGTGTTTTTTTCAGGCATGATTTTTTTATTTCAAATACAATGTTTTTTTCCTTCAATATTAGTGAATGACTTGCAAGAAGAAACTACTTAATAAAATTATCTATGCACTTCAAGATTGTGGTAATTAAGAGCAGTTTATTTTTAGATATTTGTACTGCTTAATTACTGAAAGTTAAATAATTTTTGAAAGTAAGTACTGGTAATATTACTAGTGTAAATAATCCCTCCTGTCTTATATACACAAGAATTTTGTCAAGTGCCGAGAATATTTGAGATCCTCGTGACTAAACTACTGTAGTTGACAGTTGAGCATTACAAAATTACTAAAAATTATAACATCATGAAAGATTTATATTTAATTTATGGAATGAAATATATTTTTCCCATCAGTGAGTCAAAGTTGTCTCCTTTATTTTAAAATACAGTGACATCTTTTATATTTATTCCCAATTCAGATTAAAATAAAAACGGTCTGAAACCATTTCCCGAAGTCTCTTTTTTTTGTTTTTCATCTATTATGTTTCAAACACTTTTATTCAAGTTTGAAAGAAAAAATATATACTAATTCAATGAAACTTGGCTCTGGTAATTTTAAATGTTATTCAGTTTCTGTATTTAAGGTGAATCCTGGGTAAGAATGCCTTTCACAAACCTTATCTTTCAACTGTCGAGCTAATTTACGACCTTCGGTGACAAAGTCTATGTAAGTAACGTCGTCTGGATCTATTGTAGCTAGAGTAGCCAGCCACTCCTCTTCCACTAGACCAATCAATCCAAACTAGAGAAACAGACAGACTTAAAATCATCAAAATCTAAATCAATGAACGTAGAACTGATATTAATTAAAAACTATATGATTTAAACACATAGATTTCACCATTCATATACAATGCTTAAACCCATAGTGGATAAAATGATCTGTTCCAATCCCATAAACCCTTGTGAATGGTATACAAGTTTAAAATCATTTAACTGGGATTTCCAAATTTTAAAAAGTATTTTTGGTGATATATATTAAAGGTTAAAACACGTCCCTCTTAGTCTGTTTTGAGATCTTTATATTTTAACTAAACTTGTCAGCAGATGGCAGCATGTGACTAAGTTAAATTAGGAAAGACAGTGACAGAACTACAATTTTGACAAATCTTTAACACTTCCATCACTAAAGATAACTCAATACAACTCTGAATACAACTGACACAGAAGGAGCAAATTATTAAGCTGTATTCTAGATATAGCTCCCAGAATAAAACTAATTTTTATTAATTATTTACTTTTATTTTAGTAGAACTGACTTCAATGTCAGTATTAAAATTAAGATATATAATGAGCAACAAAACAAAAAAATATACAGAATGAAATATAAACTTTATTTGTTGTTATTTTTTAACTTTGTATGCTCCCCAGTGGCTCAACTGTAAGCTTAAGGTCTTGTTATGCTAGCAATTAGTGTTCAATACCTGTAGTGGAAAATAGCATAGATAGTTCACTGTGTTACTTTGTTCTGTATGATTTAACAATATTTGCCAATTAAACTGAACTTACAGATTATAAACAAAAAAAAATCTATTTACACCATAAAACATGGCCAAATGAACAACTTCAGTTATCAAAACTATTATATACTACTCAATTTTTGACTTAATTTGTTTGAAGTTTACAACATCCTAACAGCCAACAACATTATAACTACAGAGGTTCACAGTAGATAATTTCACTTTGCAAACATTATTGTTAAGTTGTATGTATTTAGTCCTGGCAACCTTTCCAGACACACACAACTTAAAAATACTTTGCTTGGTAACAAGAAACACTTTAACAGAAAATATGATATTCTTCTGGCAAATTAGGTAAGTCTACTATTTGATACAAGTGCCATAAAGTAATAACTAAATGAATTTTACTGGTACAAATATTAGGAAGGCTACAAATACTAAAACATTCTTCTTCACCATTTTAATTACGCGTGTATGTAACCACAAAAATAAATAAATAAAAATAATCAAAATTAACAGTTTGTTACGCTTACAATGACATTAGTGTTTCTGAAAAGTATAATTTTATAACCTTATTATTTCCCTTTGTACGAAAGTTTGTAAATTATGACTTATCGAATGATACTGCAAAACTTGATCATGAAATACACTGACAATAGTGACCAAAGATTTGTATACATAAGCTATTAACATTTACATTTTGGTGCTTCATGTAAGTTTAATTCAGTAAATAAATACTGGTTTCTTTCTCTTGTGAACAGTTATATTAAAAATGAAAGAAAAGATACTTATTGTCAGTATAACGAATTTAAAACATCTTTAAAATTTAAAGAAATAAAAGCTTTTACAAAAACAGGTGTATTTGACACTGATAATTTTGATTATAACAAAGTCCAGTCCCTACTAAAGCTATCAGGTAGTTAACAACAGACTTGATTCACACCTTTTTTCCTCCATGCTGGATGGTAAAGGTTGTCTGGCCATCTGCCAAGGGCTGATTCGTATCATTATCAATCACATTACTTATCAACCACGGGAAAGTTGTCTGCTTCACAAAGTCGCATAGATTATCCACTCCAAAATCTGTTAAAACATTTTAAAATTCCTTGAAATATAAAAATCCCAAAACAAACTTTGCTGGAAGAACTAAATACAGACATACATGAATTCATATTTAAGTATAGCCCTAAAATTATTTCAGACTTTCAAACTATGATATAAGACCATTTTAGATGATGATCTGAAGTTGTTAGAACATACGGACACTGAAATATAAAACAGTTTTAAAAAGCAATTTACATTATTATTATTATTACATCTAAGCACTGATACGTTTGTATAAAAAGTTCTGTGACTTTCATAACATCTAATCAATGCTGCAAAATATCAAGTACAGTAACTAAAATATTCATATGTTATCCTTCATATTAACATAAGGGCTGTGTGTAAAGCCAAATCATACACTGGGAAAAATCTCTTTTTTCTCATAACTGCTTACATTACAAAGATCATACGAATGTGAAGGTCAAACCAGTGGTCAGAACAACATTACACTTCTATACAGCTGTGTTCAAATCATCTTGTCATATCTAATTAGCAATGAGGCCAATTTTTCTTCATTTAACAGGATGTTTGTTTTCATTCTAGAACTAAAAATATCAAGTTACTTACAGAGTAATGTATATTAATCCTTTAATCTAATTAAATATCAATTCTAGGTTACATGTAAGTCTAGATAAATTAACCAACCAAAATCGTGGTTTCCGAAAACGGCACAACGAACACCGAAAGCGTTTAGGGAAGGTATCATTTGCTCTCCTTTTGTGAAGGTGCTCACTGAAAGATGGAGAAAAAAAAATCACATATAGTTTCTATTAAAATAAAACACTGTATGAAGGATTTAGTTTCTATTACATTTATTGATATAAAAATGCTATATTTTATTTGCTTATTTTCTAATGATGCACTCACTTCTTTTATTAAAAAAGCTGAAGGGTCCCGATAATTAAAAGAGATTCTAAACTACAGTGTTTGTTTGTTTTTGAATTTCGCGCAAAGCTACATGAGAGCTATCTGTGCTAGCTGTCCCTAATTTTGCAGTGTAAGACTAGAGGGAAGGCAGCTAGTCATTACCACCCACCGCCAACTCTTGGGCTACTCTTTTACCAACGAATAGTGGGATTGATTATAACACCCCCACGGCTGAAAGGGCGAGCATGTTTGGTGGGACGGGGATTCGAACCCGCGACCCACAGATTGCGAGTCGAGTGCCCTAGCCACCTGGCCAAACTACAGTGATTAGTAAGTTTCTTAAATATATGGTGAAACTATATTTCATGCGAATTTCCATATTTCAATCAATATTAAGGTGACTAACATCAATTTGCAGAAAATATAAAACTAAAAACATTTAATTAGTTTCAGCTTCTTGGGACTTTAGCTCAAAGTCAGGGCAGGACTTACAACAAGACAGATGGTACAGTTACCTTGGAAACTCTCGGTGTCAAGAGGGCCCAGGGCCTTTTTTTCTTTAAATAAACATTTATACCACGTCTAGCTACAATGGATATGTTTTTGTATTGTTATTTTTATTTGAATTTTATATCACTGTGTGACATTTGTCCCTACCTCTCTCTAAACTAACCAAAGTTAGTTGTTGTTTTTCATAGCCTTCTTAGATAATTATTTTAATTTGGAAGCTGTCGTACTTCAAATGCATTATATTTGGTAAGAGGTTGTACTGATGAGATCATGTGGAATAAGTACTGAAGATATCTACGGGCCCACTGTAGTATTAATGTGGCCCTGTTTACAGCTTGCATAATTAATAACAAACTGAAGTTTTAACTGAGATAAAGATTCAAACAAACTGACCCCTTTAGGAGAGGTGAGGGGGGAAGACTTTAACTCTATCACATTATGTATCCACAGTTGTTTAATTAAGTTACATTTTTTACTACAATGGGTATATTTTGGCCCAGTGCCTTACAATAATTAATTAACAATTAATCATCAGGTTACTTTTCTTGTACGTTATGAAAGTATTGTTTAACACAATTAAGAGAGTCATACATAAACGATAAATGTCTGTTTGATATCTTGGTAACTGAAGAGTTAGAAATATATTTTTTTTACTTTGGTTGTGTACAGTTTTTGTCCCTACCCCAGTTACGTACAGTAAAAAAGATAAGTTATTGGTACCTTTAAGATACGGTTAACAATTAACATTATGTGCTGTTGCACGATTGAGAAACTAACTCATAAAAAAATAAAATTTTGTACATTATTTCTTTCATGTAACAGAAAAAAAAAAATACAATGTTTGAGTGTTTTTGTTTAACTTTACATGATTGAGGTACAAATTTTGAATGTTTTTGTTTTTAACTTTACATGATTAGATACATAGTTTGAGTGTTTTTGTTTTTAACTTTACATGATTGAGGTACAAAGTTTGAGTGTTTTTGTTTTTAACTTCACATGATTGAGGTACAAAGTTTGAGTGTTTTTGTTTAACTTTACATGATTGAGATACAAAGTTTGAGTGTTTTTGTTTTTAACTTTACATGACTGAGGTAAAAAGGTGGGGTGTTTTTGTTTTTAACTTTACATGATTAGATAAATGTATTTTTCTTTTAAATTTAAGCTACTGAAACGCAAGCAGCTCCAGAGTAAATATACTGTAACTGTGAAATTTTCAAAACCCATAAAATAACATATCTAAGATGAGTGAAATACATAATTTACTAGCAGTCTGTCTAGATAATCTTACCGAATTTAAACAAGTTTAGCTTTATACTTAATAAATGTGTTTATAATCAAGTAACATGACAACTATTATAAAAAGATGTAGTAGCCAACTTCCTAATTGCTATTAAATAATCATCTAGTAAATTACACCCTTTTGAAGTGCTTTTATTGGTAATAATATCCTTTAAAACTTTGATGTAAATTGTCAAATCACTTGATTAGTTTTTTTTGTTTATATTAGTCATAGTTTTATGCATTACGTGCAGGCATAACCCTTCTCCAAGTCACTTAACGGCCAAGCATTCCATTTCACTGACACAAAAACTAGCTATTTACAGTTGATAAGTACAGTAATTGGCTCCAATAGTTTTGCTACCTATCAATTCAAGCATCTAAACTTCCTTTCCCTATTTATTCCCCCCTTCAAGGACAACTTTTTTATGTTACTAAGCATTCTTGATGAGTCATATATAAAAGTAAAACCACTATACAAGAAGGTGCAGCAAGCTGACAATGTAACATATGACATAAAACCCCCCACTCTTGGCTTGTTGCCAAGTTCTTCTGTTATTACTATTTTTCAATGATTTTAAACTTACGAATCTATTTCACTATTTTCATTGACCCAAAACTCTTTCTCAATAAGAGCTAGTGAAAAATAAACACATTAAGTGTCTTATTTTAGGATTCTGTGAATAAATAATTCTAAAGAAAATAATTACAGAACTTGTTCATTCATTAAAGGTTAGAGATGATCCAAACTAACAGGCTGTTTTATCTTAACACTAAACAAAATAATCTACGTACACCTGTAGCTGCAATGCTGGTAAAATACCAAAATAACTTTCATTCCAAAATGTATCATCATAAAAAGAATACTTTATTGTATGTAACCCATATTTTACTTGTATAAAGAGTATAAATTTAAGTTTTTACAGTTTTGTTTTAATATCTATATTTAAGGATTAAATAATACAATTATTCAGAACAACATCACCAGTGAAAACAAAGTGGTTTGTTGATATTATCTCTTTAAAGTTTAAGTTTCATCTTCTTAATTATTAGGTTAAATATTATACTATCCTGTTGCATACAATTTTTAGGTCAAGTTTTATGTTAGAATCTTGTTCCACAAAATTATTAAATCAAATTTTGTGTCAATTTTTTGTTCCACACAATTATCAAATCAAATTTCATGTCAACTTTTTGTTCCACACAATTATCAAATCAAATTTCATGTCAACTTTTTGTTCCACACAATTATCAAAGCAAATTTTGTCAACTTTTTATTCCATATATAATTATTAAATCAAATTTTGTGTCAACTTTTTGTTCCACACAATTATCAAATCAAATTTCATGTCAACTTTTTGTTCCACACAATTATCAGAGCAAATTTTGTCAACTTTTTGTTCCATACAATTATTAACTCAAATTTCATGTCAACTTTTTGTTCCACACAATTATCAGAGCAAATTTTGTCAACTTTTTGTTCCATACAATTATTAAATCAAATTTTGTGTCAACTTTTTGTTCCACACAAGTATCAAATCAAATTTCATGTCAACTTTTTGTTCCACACAATTATCATGTTAACTTGTTGTTCCATACAATAATCAAAGCAAATTTTGTCAACTTTTTGTTCCACATAAGTATCAAATCAAATTTTGTGTCAACTTTTTGTTCCATACAATTATCAAAGCAAATTTTGTGTCAACTTTTTGTTCCACACAATTATCAAAGCAAATTTTGTCAACTTTTTGTTCCACACAATAATCAAAGCAAATTTTGTCAACTTTTTGTTCCATACAATTATTAAATCAAATTTTGAGTTAACTTTTTGTTCCACACAATTATCAAAGCAAATTTTGTGTCAACTTTTTGTTCCACACAATTATCATGTCAACTTTTTGTTCCACATAAGTATCAAATCAAATTTTGTGTCAACTTTTTTTCCACACAATTATCAAACCAAATTTCATGTTAACTTTTGTTCCACACAATTATCAAATCAAATTTCATGTCAACTTTTTTTCACACAATTATTTAATCAAATTTCATGTCAACTTTTTTTCACACAATTATTTAATCAAATTTCATGTCAACTTTTTCCACACAATTATTTTAATGTTTTCTATCAACACTTTGTCGCGCACAGTTTTCTAGCTTAACATCATACAGACATAAGTTGAAAGTCATTTTAACCTTGAAATCTGATGTCCAAGTTATCAAGAGTTAAAACTGTGTAAAACGTTTTCTATGGCCTAATTGGAGTGTTCTAAACATGAAAAGGTCTGGAACAAGAGGACAAGGGGCAAAATGAACAATAACTGGTACAGAATAAATCATTTCTGTGAGGAAGACAGTTTCTTGTACAAAGTAACTGTGAAAGCTTTATGTAGTCATAATTCATAAACTTGCATATTGTAATGACAAACATTATGAAACAGCCAATCTGTCTTCATCATAAAAGAATAACAACACATAATATATATCCGTGTTATTTGTTATTTTTAAATACTAGGTTAAAAACAAGGAAGAGGCTTTGAATGGCAATATATATTAGAAGGATGTATATACATACATTTGAATATCTACTTATCTATTTAATATAATGGAATACAAAGAGCACACACACTGAAAGTTCTATATGAATAACTACTAGGGCATTCTTATCAATCAATACACTACTTTAATTACATAAGGAAATACACTCCAAAATGTTAGTCAGTGCCTTGGTGAGCTCACTAAATAGCTAACATCCTGATTAATAAAGTGACCCAGGATTTCCTCTTTTGACATCAATTGTCCTTCAATAACATCAGTTTTTCATTTATTCAGTGCTAAAAGTTTAGAAATGCAATCCTGTTCTCAATCAGCTTAAAATATACAAAGAACTAGACACAAGGAGCTTCAGTAGTATCATAATAAAGACGAAACAGTATCATCCATGTATTTACTAACGGACAATCGTTACTGTCTTATAAAATAATAATAATCTTTCAATAAACGTTTTAAGTTTGTTCCATGAAAAGTTGAATAATACAATAGCTACCACCGTTATTTCATCACTTTGTTTATTCTTTAAATATTTTTGGTTTAAGGCTTTAAACAACCAAAATTTAACCCTTATTTAAACAGGATACAAATAAAGATCTACAAATTTATAAATGAAAATGCTATAAATTATAAATCAAACTGTATAGTAAAAAGTTACTTTGATACAGATGTCATGAACCTAAACAACAGTACACTATTAATCAATTAAAAGATACTCACACCATAAAAACTGGTATACTATCAACAATATTGTTATGGTGTGTACACCTTTTACAAGCTGGTAAAGAACGATCACAGTTATACTTGTCATACGACACTAGTGTTAGGTTTATAACATTTTTGATGACTACATTCTTTATCTAGTTGTTGGCAGTAGATATGACAAACACGGCGTGGTTGGAATACTATCATTATACACTGTTCTAATTCTTGAAAGTCCCTAAAGGAATAGTAGTTATGTGAAACAATTCATCAATCTGTAAGAATGAAGTCATTTTTAGGGCACCAGTTTTTGTTCTGTTTTAGGTGTTTCATCAGAGTGATAATACACAAAATAAAAGCTTCAATCCGGTTCATTCAGATTTTTTGTAGTAAGGAATATTTTTGTACAAAAACTTGGTGATTTCTAAATGTCTTAAAAATATAATGTTTTTATTATTAAGAACATGTATTCTACACTACAGTTAATTTTAAAATCATGTTAAAAACAAAAAAAAGTAAGTTTAACAGCAATCTTTTTAAGTTGATGATGTTTACCAGTTAGGGATTAGTAATTGTATATTATTATTGGTTTAAAATGTACACTTTCTTAAGCAAACATTGATCACTGAAAAAAAGCCATACAATATTGTAAAGTTATACCTTTGCTCAACAAGAACAGCAGAAAATGTATTAAAACCTAATGTACAATGCATTATATCTCAAAACCAGCAAACAAAAGGAATATATTGAGTTTCTGAAATAAGCTTCTTTATTTGTAACTCAGACTTACCATAATGATATGACTACCTCATAATTTAATTTGTTCAGAAAAACAGAGTGCTTGTAATTAATTTCTAAAATAACTTGTAGTGTCTGAAGACCTAATCAGTCAAGTTTAAATTGTCTTTCAAGTGTTGAGAACCCTTTTAAAATCAGATTTAATTACACTGTAATCATATCATAATAACTCCTCTAATTACTGTGTTTCTATGGAAATATAATACTCCTGCTTTGTTCTTTGTTCATTCATGGGAAGTTAATGGTAAATTCTGTAAAAACTGCATAAGGTCCATCAGTACGTTTATTTGTTTTGTGTTGGGTACTATTAAGAAAAACAGTGCTAGTAAAATGCACTGAAATTAATGTTTAAAATTTTGATGATTTGTGAACATTGTACTTTATATCAGTTTATATTTTAAATCTGGAGAAGGAGTGGATGTTCACACGTCTATAATAATTATTAATGTTCATCAGTATACTGGTTTCTCTTGTTAGTTAGTTATTGATCAGTATACTGGTTTCTCTTGTTAGTTAGTTGTTGATCAGTATACTGGTTTCTCTTGTTAGTTAGTTGTTGATCAGTATACTGGTTTCTTTTGTTAGTTAGTTGTTGATCAGTATACTGGTTTCTTTTGTTAGTTAGTTGTTCATCAGTATACTGGTTTCTTTTGTTAGTTAGTTGTTCATCAGTATGCAGTTTTCTTTTGTTAGTTGTTCATCAGTATATTGGTTTCTCTTGTTAGTTAGTTGTTCATCAGTATACAGTTTTCTTTTGTTAGTTAGTTGTTCATCAATATACTGGTTTATTTTGTTAGTTAGTTGTTCATCAGTATACTGGTTTCTTTTCTAAGTAGTTATTCATCAGTGTACAGTTTTCTTTTGTTAGTTAGTTATTCATCAGTATACTGGTTTCTTTTGTTAGTTAGTTATTCATCAGTATACTGGTTTCTTTTGTTAGTTATTCATCAGTATACTGGTTTCTTTTGTTAGTTAGTTGTTCATCAGTATACTGGTTTCTTTACTAAGTAGTTATTCATCAGTATACAGTTTTATTTTGTTAGTTGTTCATCAGTATACAGTTTTATTTTGTTAATTGTTCATCAATATACTGGTTTCTTTTCTAAGTAGTTATTCATCAGTATACTGGTTTCTTTTCTAAGTAGTTATTCATCAGTATACAGTTTTCTTTTGTAAGTTAGTTGTTCATCAGTATACTGGTTTCTCTTCTAGGTAGTTGTTCATCAGAAGCTAACATTTTTTTTTACCTGAGGATTTATTTCCAATAGATCTCATCTTCTCACACAGTTTAGCTCTACTCCTCAGCTCTTCCCCACGTTCTGCCAAAGAGATTTGCATTCCACTAGTCTTGCAAAAACTCCAATTTAATTTCACATGAACTCGCGTCACTGCATGGTGATGTCAACATACAGCAAAACCCCTCCATAAATAAGAAGGCAACACACCTCCATACACACTAACTCTCCCTATGCATTTGCACTTGTGAATCTCCTTTCTTCGATGAGGCAAGTAACAAAATGTGCACCAGATGTGAAGAGGAGATTATCTACCAGAAATATATTTTCAGGTAAAGAAAATGTTAACTTCTAAAACAAATACTCACCTCTTTTCACACTGTTTAGCTAGAATTCCACATTGAAATGGTGGAGTGACCAGTGCAAAAATTACCTAGATGATCCTCCTTCAGGAAGTACCTGAAGGAAGCCAATGGGGTGTGACTGAGTAGCTTTATTGTAACTGAAGACAATAAATACACAAATAATGTTCTTCAGCCAAAGTTATGTCAGCTCACTATTTCATTGTGCCCCCCCCCACCCACACACACATTAAAAATTCTTGCAAATTTTTATGCTTCAGTGTTAGATGTAAAGAAAGTAGTATAATTTAAGAAAATCTGAAATATACATCACTTTAAAGATGTATAAAGAATCGTAAAACTAACATGAGTAATTCTAAATACTTTCTTTTTACGTAGGGACATTAGAAAATGTGAATAAATAAAGATATTAATTTGCACTTTAAAATATAAGTACACCTGACAGAACAGAAATATCTGTGTAATATGAACAAATTATTTTTGTTTTAATGTCATATATCCGTAGACTGAAATGAATTCTGCTCATTTTGAACTTCAATATATTTCTAATAACTGATATTTCAACCATTTTTACATCTCCTGCTCTAGTGTTTTTTGTAAAAGATTTCTATGTCATTTTTAACCACAATAAAAAAAAACAATAAGGCATAAAAAAAGATTTCCAATATTCATTAGTTTTGGGTTTCTTCTACAGGCATTTATCTATTGGAAAAACAAAAATAACAGAATATTTCCTATTTACACAATATAGTATTTATCTTCTATTCAAGATGTTCTTATGTGTTATAAAATTATTATATATTCCATTCTACAAAAAAATTTGAAACAAATATTTCTACTGTGTGTTTTTCCTTCAATCAGATTTTCTTGTCTTATAAATTTATGTATATTCTAATACAAATACATGCTCGTCCTCTATGTTTGCCGTCTGGGCCAGCCACCTGGGTGTAAAAATTCTTGGTTTACAAAGATACCGGCCAACCCCAAGTTAGCTTATATTAAGGTTGTCATGGAGAATGGTGTTCGTGTTCAACATAATGTAAATATCACTACCAAATACAAGTCCTATTTCCCATACAATTATAAGCTTAGCCAAAATTCATGTACACCACTACTATCTCTCTTTTCACATTACTTACTTATAGAGGGTGCAAAAATATCACCACTGAAAAGCACTATGGGATCCAAATCACTGAAGCTCTTGAGGGCTTGACAAAATCTGGCTGCTCCAGCTACTGGTTCTTGGGGTTGGGGTTCCACATTATAACAGTCGTTAAAGTGGAGGATGGTAACAACTGCTTCTTCTGCTGGCATGATCGTCTAAAGATTGTCGTAGTTGGATATACACTTAACCACAGGAAATGTGATAACAATGAACTTTAAAAACTGTTGGCTAGAATAAAAGAAAATTATAACACTTGTAAATGGAAAGCTAATAAATAACCTCATAAGCTCAACCTAAGATCACTAATTGGTAATTAGATTCTGACAACCTATCATATCAGGTTTTACAGGTCCATTAAGAGACAATGTACAGAGTGGCACAAAAGTCTTGCCCCATAGAGATTTTGAATAGCAATAAAAAAAAAAGTAATTACTTTTTACAGTAAATGTTTGAATTGCTGGCCACTAACCTTGAAGCACTTATTCATTTTAAGTTAATGGCCATTGATTTAAAGATTTGCTTTACTATAAAAAGAACTAATTAATTTTTTTATTGTTATTTAAAATCCCTATGTGGTGACATTTTTGTGCCACCACTGTACATTATGCCACACCCACATAGTATATGTAAAGTTTTTCACCTTAACCCCAAAAGCATAAAAACAGATGTACTGAAAATGCTTTAGTTTATTCACACAGGAAAACCAAGTATATGTAATATTTATCCAACAACATGATGTAAAGCTGTAAACATATTAATTGTTAAAATCCTCATGCACAATACAGATATTCTGCAGTACAACCTTTTCTGTCTAAAGTACTTACTCTGCTTTTTTTAGTTTTCCCACAAAGCAAATAACCACAATCACTAAGCAAAGATAACGAGATGACATTAGTCCATGTACAACAGAGTAAATAATTGAAGAGAGATTGTCTACATATTTTTTTTCTCCAGTAAAAACATAAAGTTATATTCTAGTATACATCTACAAACTCCACATACTAAACAAACAATCTTTAGGCTACAATATGGCCTATAACTTTTAAACCAATGCATTCGATATAAATATCAGTGATAGACTTATCAAAAGTTGATACACACACATGAAATAAGTTCACAAAAGTATGCACTACATTCCGTGTGCAAGCAACCTAAAAGGTTACACAAAACGTGTACGTAAGGTATGTTAAATGCTGTTATCTTCAACACATTACCATCCTTAGTGTGTGTGTGTTGATTAGGTTATGTGTTCCATTGCACATTGTTTGCTAATATGAGTCAGTTTCCTGTTATGTAGACATTTCCACAACTGTTTTGTGTGGATGATTTAAGCATTAGTTCTTTACAGCTTGATCTAGAATTCAGTTTTCTTTACAAAGAACACAAATTTTGGAACTGAAATAACATCTTAATTTAATAAAGTATATATAATTTCACTCACTGCTGCAATGAAACCTTGCCTGTTTTATATAAAATATAAGTTTACTTGTGACAGTTATTAAATATCCCTAGGAAACTTCAAAACATTTTCAATGTATACTACAAACTGAACCAATATTTCAACTGTCTACTTTTTAAGGTTACCGCTTGGATATTGTAATTATTATGAAAACTTTAAATACTTTACTCCAAACTTTTTCATAACCTTCTTGGGATACTCCTACCAAAGCAAGTGTAATGAAAGGTTATCTTAGTTCATTATAAACATTACTAAAAACATGATTCCTAAGCAAACACTGTAACTTGAAACCTGCCTATGTGTATACAGTGGTGTGACTTCATAAATATTCCCCTGTAGTCAGATACAGTTCTAATCAGTATGTAATGTCTAACACATGGTGAGAAACAACAGTAGCATTTATTGGAGTTCTTTTTTGTTATAATGTTACTGTCTCAAGGAAATATGCATATTAATTTTCTGTTCAATAAGATAGTAATCTGAGTTCATTTTAAAATTGTTAAACATAGCAGTGTATAAATCTTACCACAAAAACACACAAACCCAGTAGTATGGCTTGTAAAATAAACTATTTCTATGTTAATCTTATCAATATGATACCTAACTCTAGATTTTATTATACTTATGTTGGTACATACATGTTAATTGCAGAGGTAACATACAAAAAAAATTATTATTTCAAAATAATTATAATTTTCAATACAAACTTACATTCAAGTGAACTGATCTGTTTCTTGGGATGTACACAAAGAACACACACACACTGAAATAAACCCTGGCTGTTTAAGTGTCCCATTCTACAGTTCCAACATCCTGTGGGGAGGGGCGTGCCACTCCAACCCACCTAGTGAGTCACTGTAACTGGTCAATCTAACACTAATGAGGGGGATGCTTAATGCTATTGTTCTCTCAACCATGTTAAATGGTTTTTGGTGCACGACAAGTAGAATATTAACCCTAAGTGAAGACAGTTTAATAGACAGTTACAAATTACTCTTGTACATTACACAGATATCTGAAAAGGAGGATGTACCTGATAAAACTAATATTTTACTATAAATACAAAACATATTTTTGATCACCTTGAATATGTCAAATAAATAATAATAAAAAACAACACACAAGTATCTGAATTTGATCAAAAGAATAGTTGGTTTATCATCATATACAAGAATTGCTTTGTTCCATTAAAACCACTTTTAGCTTATAATAAAAGTCAACTAATGTTCTCTTCCTTTTTATAACTTTTTTAGTCTTTCTCTATTTAAAAGACAACATGGTTAAATAATTTCTGAGATGAAGAGAATAATATAGGAACATTTTGTTCTTTTTCTCCCATAAATTTGATATTCTCTAGTGTGTTATAAAGTTCTAAGTATTTGGTATAACCCAGTTAAGTTAGCTAATCATTGTATTTCAATTCATTCATTAATTTTTAAAACAATAAATGTTTAAAATATACATTCAAATTTCATTTCAACCATTTTGATACAAAATTCAAATTCATGGATTAAATACAAACTTTAAAGAATGCCTCTTTTTTTATCAAGGCTTATAACTAAATGTAGAATATTTTGATAAGTTTTACTCATAAAAAATGTTCCCTTTAAAACAGGAAGTTAAACTTTCTTAATAATATTGAGTCTTACAGATACCTGTAAAATGTCTCCAATGCTAAATGTCAGTGTTCTTTGAAAAATAAATCCCAAAGATTTAACAGCTTTAGGTAGTTTTCAAAGAAGTTTAACAAATTGTGGTATCAAATGAACATCACCAGTAGTTTTCTCAAAAAAAAAAACAGAAATAATTTCAAAGATACAATAACTTACTAAAGTCTTAATCTATTACAATGCTTTTATAAGAAAAGAGGCTCTAAAAAAGATCAAACAAGACTTATTTAGCTTGCTATTTTACAAGTGTGACATACAGTAGGTTCATTCTCTTGTTAAATTACTTAAGTATCCCCTCTACAAAATGTGTTTTTATTAAATAGACACAAGTTTTGTCCCAGAAATTAAAAATGTTACCATAATTACTTAATTAATATCTAAATCACATGTAACAACAAATTATTGCTAAAAAAATAAAGATTCCACATCAAGTGATGAATTTTCCCAAAATAATTAGTGTATTTGAAATTGTACAAGAAGACAAAACATGCTTTTCTTTTTAAATGCCATGATGTGTTGGAGTATCCTTTTTTTTTTTATCATTAAACATAAACATGTACATATACTATAGCAGCAAAGTGAAACATCAGAAATGTTGACCTGTTTAAAATGTGAAAATATCGTACTCCACAGCAAGTACACTTAACTGTACTTTATAACAGTTCAAAGGTCAAAGGTTAATGCACTGCACTGGTAGGTTCATTTTTACTCTTATCTTGATTATTTTCCCATACTGGTTTAAATACAAAAGGTAACCTTTAAAAACTTTGTATACCTGTACAGGTATTTCAAGAAAAATCGTGTAATCAAATGTGTTGGCTAGCACGTACACCTATAAAAAAAAACCTGTAAATCAAGATAATGCATTATGTAGTCAATGTAATATTACCTTTATAGCATACATGTAGAGTTTCTTATTCAGAAAATAAAAAAAAAAGACTGAGTCACAAACAGGTTTCAGTAAACCTTTTTTTTTTTTACAATTTAGCTTTCTTCCATGTGTAAAGTATTACTGCAGTGTATTCCCATTCTGTGCAGACTATTATGTCTAATTCAAAAAAAGAAAATGTTTGATACTTCCTTTTTTTTTGTAAATTCTACTAGGTCACATTCTAAAAGCTACATTGACAGCTACGGAAAAAAGGAGTCATGTGTATCCTCATTGTACCTACTAGTAATGTCTTTATCTTATTCATTGGTTTGTAACGAAAGTGAAAGATTACAGTGTTTCGATTTCAAATTGTACTAAAACATCTTAAGTTATTCATTGAAACTCCTTTTACATCTTGAGCTCAATAGTAGTGATCAAAATTCTTATGTCATATACAAGGTGAGCTAAAAAAAATGTTTCCTTTACCCATGTGGAAATTATTATTTTGGTGTTGAAATACACCAGGATTACAAATGTCACACACCTGGTATTATCAGGCTTTTCATGTTGATAACTTCAAGATTCTAGTATACCATGTATGTACATTTCTGAACATTGTCATGACCACTGGTAAAATCTCATTTAACACTTCATCTTGGCCAACCAAATAAATATTGTTTTATGATATCCTCTTGATTTGTATATAAATTCTTCTTTGAATTCTAGAATCTTCTATTTAAAATGTACAACGTGAAAACTTTTAAATTTTATTTTCTATTATATACTTTTACTATAGACATTGTTTTGCATTACTAGCATCATATAGATAGTTAGGACTAACTTAAATCTTCTAAGCCTGCCAAACATCATAATATGTTATTGGGATTATGGCTGAATAAGTTGTTGATAGCAAGGATACCCAATTGATGAAACAATGCATTCAAATCTTCATAAGTAGAAATGCATGAAAAGTATATTTAATCACCCATACAGTGTCGCTTTAAGTCTTGATCTGATTAGAAACTGATATTAACAACAATATATTTTGGCCTCGTGTTGGGAGAATTTGTTTATAAAATCATTTACTTGTCATACACGATATAGGCACACTTATCCAGCTTATTATATGGACAGTTACTTCATTAAGAAAATACTATAACTTTTTCTCATGGATTAAATGTAGTAATGGAATACTACCAAATGATAACTGAAATGAAGTTCTAACTCAATGAAATCAATACAAATGTTATAACTAGCAGATAGAATTGAATTAATAAATATAACCACTACTTTTTGTATCATTACAAAAACAAAATTCAGTTTAGTTTTTGATAACTTTTGGATGTTTATATGAACTTTTCTTAGGTGACAGTAAACTGACTAAATTTACTATTTTCATATACACAAAATGTGTTAGTAAAATGTACTAATTTACTGCACACAAAAAAATCAGGTGTGTTACAAAAGTATCTGTCCTCAAGATATATATGTCTGTGAGTTCATGATATCAGTGTGACTGAAACTCTGAAAAGTCAGAGTGCAAGATGACGTTCATGTTAGGAATAAAATTACTTTTGTTCATTGTAGATATTGCATTTGCATAACCTTTACAACCTCTGAAATGCGTATCTACAGGATTTTTTTCAGTATGTTTATATACTCTCGTCTACCATGAATTGTCACTAAATCAACAGTGTAGAGTTAAATGAATAGTTGATAACTCTGACATCAAACACATATGTTATGATTTTGAATGGCGCTCTGTAAAAGGTATTAACATGTGCATTTTCACCCCTACTTGTGCACTTAGGGTTAATACAAACAATGGTACATAAAGGGAAACACCAAATAAACTTGATGATACTGTTTTTAGAATAGTCTGTACTTAAAGTATAAATGAATTTTCTGCTGTTAATAAAAAAAGGAATGCAAATGCAGTCACACAGAGGTCAAGGCATGCCCTGGTCCTTACAGAGTTTTGATTTAGACCATATGGTGGTAATGAAGTCGAAATTAGAGTTAACATTCCCAATCCCAATTACACTTAGTTAAAGTGATCAAATTTCATTGTGTGTTTTGGTGCACAGACATACATTTTTGAAAGATTCAATAAAGCAACTTCAGTTAAAATGCTATTCAAATGTAAACAGTTTTCTTGACAATGTAGTTGTTTGTCTTGTTCTTTGTTCAGAAGTGCTAACTCTGAAGTTATAGCCATGAAAGTGCTTCTTTTAATTTCTGTGAAAACATATTACTTCAAAATCCTGCTAATGATCATCAACAAACATAACCACATGTGTATATGTGGAAGTTGGAAAATCAAGTCTAATAGGTATTAATTTCTTAAGTTCCTAACCTTAGAAACTTTCTAAATTTTAGGATTAAATCTACTAATTATAAACAGGAGTTCCCTAAAAACCACATTTAATAATTATAAACAGGATACTTCCTTTTTTACTTGTTTTTGTGAGTTGATGAGAAATATATGTTTACCAAACTTAACATGCATGTAATTAAATATATCTTTTTCTATTACATTCACCACAGTAATAGGCTACTTTTTTAACAGCTGTACTTTAGTATAAATACATTTTTCACTTAACTTCCCTCTTAAGTTGAAGCAGTTATATTTTGACACACAAATTTGGTTTTGGTATTCAAAGTAAAAAAAAACACACATGGAAGTCTTCCTGTCAGTTTTTTTTTTTTTTACCTGGGAAGAAATCTGTTTATAAACAAACATAATACTCTCTATAAAATAAACTATGCCAAAACTTACTAAGAAATGTTGGTAGTTGAGAGACATCTAAGCAAGTTTTATTTTCTCTTTACATTTGACCTTGGTTATTGGTATAAACAAGGGATCAACTTACAAACTTTTTTTTGCACTGTGTGTGACCTCAGATGTCATCATAATAAAAAGATCATTTTACTGAGGCATGTTTTATTTTTCTTTATTAATGAAGATACATCATTATTAATACTACAAGGTGAATCAAAATAGGATAATTAATAGACAGTTCTCATGACGGTCAAGGCAACAGACACAACTGTGTATGCTGACAACATAAGATTATCATGTGCTTATTTAAAATGGTACATTCAATGTGATATTTATAGCTATAACATATTTCAGCACTTCACATAAGCATGGTAACAAGGATAAGAGAAATTTTTTACATGATACTTTCTTTCAGCTCATCCAGTATGTTGTTTAATTTATATATTTCAAAATATTGTTGCTTTTTTCTTTCGTCTTTGGTATTAAAAAGTTCATTTAGCTGAGAAAAACCTGTGAAACTAATGGATCACTCCACTCTGTCTTAAAACTTGAGCTCAGGTTCATGTTTTACTTTGTAACCTCTCATGTTTTGTTGTTGTTTTTTACATGCTGTATGTTAGCCTTGATTTGCATCAGAGACATTTGTATTTATTTTTCTATCTTTTGACATCTTCCTGTACTACATTTATTTTGTTCTAGGAAATGTTACTGTTAGAGGCCAATTATACCAAGCTTTGATCTGATTACATACCATAAAGGAGAGGAAGTATTCCATTTCTGTGTATACGTATATATATATATTTCTCAAACTTCACTTCTTTATCATTACTGCATGGCTACTTCTGTTTATTTTTTATGCTAGTTTTAGTAATATCAGTGTGTTATGTTTTTGTTACAACTTTTTTCATCTTTTATATAAATCATGTCCTTAAAACATATTAACCCAAAAGTAAGAAGGAAACAGGTTTTACCAAGAATAATGTTGCCGGTAACACAGGAAGTGAAAGAGAAAAATAAATGAAATAACTTTATATGAACTTTACATTGAAGTTAACAAATATGTTTTCATTATCTATAATTTATAATCCATGCAGAAAATTCAACTTAGTTGATTGATGCCTGCATATCAAACTTTCATTAAATAAATAATTTTTACATTATTTATCAAAACATTAAAATATAACCAAATTTGGTCATGTAGTTTTTTTAGTGAGTGACTTAAATAATAGTGGTGAATACAAAATCAAACATTAATTATGAATAAACCATTTGTTTAAGAAAACTTCAATTTAGGTTTTAAAATTGAATACATAAAGCATAATAAAGTCCACATTCAATGTAGCTCAAAGCATGATACATTTTAAATTAGTTTATACATTTTTAATTAGTTTTTTTCCCTACATTTCAAAAGTTGTACCAGAATTAATCTCAATCCAATCACATATTTGTTCATGCAGGTTAACTTGCAGCCATACAAAGTTATCTAACTTTGTAATATACCTTGTTATAAATCAAGTTGTAAAAGATTTCAAACTTGTATTAATATCACAACAAGATCAAGTTGGATTTCTGTACAATAGTAAATAATAGTGAGTTTTATTTGGAATGATTGTGTTGTATATATTTTTATCTATGCCTTATACTGTAGGCTGTAGCTTTATTTAACCAATAACTAAAATGCCTGTTTACTTAGTACAACTATAAGCTTATAGGAAACAATTCTGGTGTAATATAAGTTACAGGATAAAGAAGAAATAGTAGAATTATCAGAAAAATCTAAAAGACAATTGAAATTTCAATGACAAAAGTAAAAAAAAGTCTGAAAGATACAAAGTGTTTGCATTTATCCATAAAAAATGATACCCACAAAAATATGTCAAGCATAACAGTCATAAAAGCTAATTGATTTTTGAATTGGGTTTTTATTTAAAATAAGAAATTATGCCTTGAACAAGTATCATTTGTGTATGATATAATTACTAAGTATTTTCACTTGTATTCTTTTGTAAGTTTTTACTTATCACACATTTTTTGTAACGAGGTACTTACCACAATTCTTTGCAATCAGACAGACACTAGACTTTTGGACATGTATGATAACTTTGAAGAAAGAGATGCGTTAACAAACCAAATGGGTCCGGGTAGGCCCAATGTTCTCAATATCTCCATCTCCATCAAGAATAAAAAAAAAGGTATTTTTATATGTATATATATATATATATATATATAAAGTATATTATTGATCAGAATGCTGTCAAATATAAGTATTTTAACTTACACGTAAATAACTTTTAACTATGTAGTTTATGAACTGTCTCTATCACTACGTCTATATCATCACTTTTGTTCTACCGCCCGAGTCAAAACTAACCCTATAAATATGATAAAGCACTTTACTAAATTACCATAGTTACAGAGCTGACAGTAGGGAGTCGTCTTCACTGTATAAGCTTAAGTTAAGGGCCTAATACCTCTCGGTTTCAAATAACGTAGTCATAATACCGGAAAAATTAAGTTTAATTTGATGATTTTTTACGTTTTCGTATTTTACATTTCAGTCAGTAAGCTACGTTATTGTGTTTACTATATTACACACTAACACTATCCACTTGTAACAAACAGATTGCAATGGAGAGGTTTGCGTAATAATTACTCTTACTTTGTATTATAATTTAATATACGCTACGAACGATGTCTTTCTCAAAGTACATCTCGTACAGCAGAAGACTACCAGCAGCCGTGCGTATAATGCCGCAATGTTGATTTGCGCGCCATCTGGTATCAACGAAAACAGAAATTGTATTGCCAACAATAGAGAACGTTTATAGAATGAATGGACATTTCAAAATTTTCACATTCCATCGTCAGCAAACTAAGCAAGATATGGTTAATACAATAAAATACATTGGAAGACATGTGGAGGTATTATAAAGTGACAGTGATTCAGATTAATCAATTCAAAAACTATACAAAGCCCGTGTATCGGCGTGTGCTGCTGATTGGTTACCTTCACCTTGGTCAGCAGTCTATAATGGGACGGCCATGCTCATACACTAAGATCAACACGTTGTTGATACCAAATATCAAACTTATTGTATGTTATTTGTTATGATGAAATCATTTAGGCGTTGCCTACTTAGCTATACATCAATTATAGTTGCCCCAAAACAATTTTCAACATCAATTTACAGTAACTGAGATTGTACTTCAAAAATATATTTCATAATATAAGATGCTGTCTTTGAAAATATTACCCACTTTCCTTTCATGTACGCAATGAAATAAATATGAAGATATTTAATTTACTTACTCTGCAATATTTGTGTCTCTCTTCTTATTATTATTGTTGTTTTTTCTTCCAAAAGATTTGCTATTAAACACTTATGGCATTCTGCTGAAAATATGGATTCACGTGATTCCTATAAATGTTTTTAATTCATTGAATAATGCTACCCTGTGTAAATTATTTCGTCATTATTATGCCGTGTAAAATGCTCAGTTTTTATATTATTTCTGACGTTGAATTCACTTCAAAAGAAATCAGCATATTTTAGAGGATCAAGACATGTTGTATTCAGGTACAGTAATTACCTACAGAAAGTATTCCGCATTAAACAGCAGGTTATAAAAACTGTTGAGCAGAAACAAAATCTTATATAGACAATATAAGAAAAGAAACAAGCACAAGTAAATAAATATAATAAAGTGATTTATGCTGGAATCTTTAACAAAGCTGGCCTTCTTTTATTTTCGTTAAAATGGATGACTAGCTCATGAGGCATAGAGAATTTGTACCCTTATGTACAAGATGAATTCAAGAACTGGAATGATGATACTCAAAGTCCTAGTGCGATATCCCACAATCCGAAATTACCTGCATCAACAATTAATATCATTATAAATTGCTATGGAAGATAAATTTCAAACTCATACTAGTTTCTACTAGTCCCTGTACACCTTCTCGTATACGACCCACACCACATCGGAGAGATGATAGAGAAACATTGTCATACAACTATAAACCTATAGAGAGTAGCTGTTGTTGTATGCAACTTTTGTTTAAAATAGTAGATAAGCGTAAGTTTGCAACCTTTCACATGATGTATAGAGGATGACATCTAACTAATATGGAACACTTTTAATTTCATTTTTAAAGTTTACCAGAATATGTCTTAATATAGGTATATTCTCTACTAATCCTGTAAGGGTTAAATATTAACAGTCCCTTTATATATATAAAATGCATATATTTTAAAAATTACCATATTTCACACAAAGTAATTTACCAAACACATTTTAATTAAATGCAATTTCTTCATATTTTTGTTTTGTTTTGTTTTGTGAATAAATAAATAAATTTTGATATTTCAACATTTGTAAAAGTTACTTTGTTAGAAAAGTTCAATGTTAGGAATTGTATCTTATTTTTCGACCCTTAAATAGCAAATTTCAAAAGTCAGTTTTCAAATGCTGTAGCACAAAGCACACAATAGGCTATCTATTTTATATCCACCTCAGAGATTCAGGAATTTTACTCTTTTACCAACGAATAGCGGGATTGACCATCAAATTATGACACCCCCACGGCTGGGAAAAGGCGAGCACGTTCGGTAACGGGAATTCGAACCCGCAAATTGCGAGTCGAGCGCCCTAATCACCGGGCCCTGTATTGTATGTGAAAATAAAATATTTAGAATTCAAATTAACATCTTATAGAATTACTGGTCATGACTATAGCACAAAAGAAGATTTTCTTATTGTTAGGATTGTGGTTTAGATCAATGTTTTCCAATGTGGAGGCCGTGGAGCTTTTTCTGGGAGGCCGCCAAAAATGGACCGAAAACAAAGATACTGAATTAATTTTAATTCTAAATAAACAATAAGACAATAAAAATTATGTTGAATTAATTGAATGATACAGTATGTTGAAATGAGATGTTATTGTTTTTACAACGGCACTGTTTTTCAATCGCCATACTAAAGTTATAGTTGGGGACTTCCAACTTTCATTATTCACATCAAGGGAGCCTCAGACTAAAAGAGTTTGGGAACCACTGGTTTAGATAACTGCATTAAAAAAAAGTATTCCTCAGAGAAACAATTTTGTATTATTCAATACATTGTTGCCCGATTAATGTGCAGGTAAGAGGCCGAAAGCTTGCAATTATAGGAAAAATATTTAACATAGGTAACAGTGCCTATGTATATTTTTTTTTACATATTAATTTACCTACGTTATGACTTTTGAAAAACAACTTGTTTGTTTCCTAATAATCTAAATAATTATCGCATATTTCTAAGAAAACCCATAAGCATTTCTTAGTTATACTTTTAAGAAAACGTGTTTGAGTTTAATTAAAATATTAAAAAGTTGAAAACAGTGAAAAGCGGATCTATGTTTAGTAGACATAGTAATAAAAAACTAAATCCACTTGAAGGTATATGAATAGTCTCTTATCTGATTATTTCCGAGTTACCAAGAAAACAAAAACAGTGCAAATAGGAAATGTTTAGATATTACATACACATTCAGGTTTATAACTTCTTTCACCAGATGGCAATAGTAGTAGGTTAACTTCAGAGGCTCTAACTAGAATAATTTGACGTTCTCTGTCACACTACCATCGACTTACGAGTTATTGTTGCGATCGGGCATAGGCGGAATAAAACAACTGAATTATTCGAGTTATTATTAACTGAGAGGATCATTCGATAACTTTGAGACCTTCCGGGGGACATATTTTCAGATTTTTAGGATTAAAACTAATTTTTACCGATGAACTTGCTTTTATGTTTATATAATTAGTAAAATATATTATTTTATTCATAATGACACATAAATATTATGACAATAATTGTGTTACATATGTTAATTTGCAGTAAAAGCTTTGCAAGTAGCAAAGGCTGTCATATGTATAATTACTAAATTAGTTTATTGGAATTGAAACAAAAATACTACACGATGTTAAAAACATAATACAATAAGTTTGAACTAATAATAACTACAAACTGTATTTTATATATATGTGTTAGAGATTTCTTTCTTTTTCACCAAAAGTAAAATTGAAAAAAAGAATCTGTGACGTAGAGGCCTAATGCATTCTTTGATTGGCCGTACACTCTGCTGTGGACTGCAATTTCGCCTATTTGATCAAGACTCATCAATACAGCTTGAGTCAGTAAACCAAAGAAATACATTCAGGCCTCTTATAATGGTTTTAATTTTAGTAGAAAAGAAAAGATAT